TTGTAAACACATAACTGCTCTAAAAATAAAGTTTTAAATTATTTTTAAAATTCTCACCTGAGGGTGTTTTTATTGAGTTGAGAAAAAGAGAGAAGAAGGGAGAGAGAGAGAAACATTGACGTGAGAGAAAGATCGATCCGTTGCCTCCCGCACATGACCAGACCCAGGATTGAATCCCAAACCTAGATGGTGTCTTGACCAGGAATTGAACTCAAAATTCTCAGTGTATAAGAGGATGCTCCAACCAACTGAGCCATTCGGCCCGGGCTAAAAAGAAAGTTTTTAAAAGCAAACAAACATTTCCCCCACAATCTATTCTATATTTATGCTAAGAATTAATACATAACTAGTTAGAAATGTAAAACCAACTGGCTTTTATTATTTTTGTTTCTGTTTTTAGGACTCAATTGTAATCAAACCTTTCTTTCCTAATAACAATGACAATTTGATTGCCATTTTAGGTAGATTCACTTTCCAAATCAGGGTGCCAGGGTCCTGGTGCATGTGGGGTCCTCCTGGTTTTCGGGTTGTTTTGGTCGCTCTCCATGTGCCGTGCAGGAGAATCGGGTGTTCCGAGCAGCAGGCGGCCCCACGTGAGAGAGGCCGGTTGTGCAGGCCTCGCCTAGATTTCCACCTGACTCCAGCCAGCTCTTCGGTTCATCAGGAGAGGTTAAGGGAGTCCACTCTGTGCCTCCAAACCACCTGCCTCCAGGGCGGGACTGCTTCTGTGGGTTCCAGCCTGGGTCCTGATGTAGAGCGCCCCTTCCCCTGAGACCTCCAGGTCCGGCCTCCCTCCTGGGTCTGTCCTTTGTGCAAATACAGACACTTCACACCCAGTCACACTCCATAGTGTTGCTTCCTGGTAGCAGGGTGGGTTGGATTGGCAGATAAAGCACGGTTCTGAGATTGGAGGACAGCTGTAGCCACACAGGAAAATAAGCAGGTATGTGAGCTCTGAAGACCAGCATCAATGCGGCTGCCAGGCCAGCCTGCGTCCCATTTCCGAGGCTTTGGCGCGGTGTAAAAACGGGTTTCTCTTTCTTTTTGTCATTTCTTTTATGTTCTTTCATTTTCTCAACACAGTGTGCTGTGATCTGATTTAGCCTCTTATTGATACTGTCTCTGGCTTCTTATTTTCTCATGCCTCATCTTTCCCTGTCTTATTCTAATTGCTCATTTATTTCCTTTAAGCTTTTATATTCTTTGTTTTTTCATTTCTTATGGATTTTCTCTCTTTCCTTCTATTTCCCCCCTGTTCTTGTGCTGGCTGGTAACCCAGAGATGAAATGTTTCCTGTGTGCTTGTCATGTGGGTAGAGTGTTAGCTTTGGTAAATGGTTGCACAGCTACCGGGTGAGAAGCGGGAGTGCTGTGGTTTTCTCTTTCCAAAAACTTTCTGACACATGGAACCACTTGCTGAAGAGAAGAAGCTGGTTTGGTGGGGACGAAACTCTCACAGACAGTCTTCTCATTGAACACAGACAGCGAATCTTATTGTATTTTAGACTTTATTTTGCACTCTCTCTCAAGTGGGGATCTTCTCTCCTCTCCTCTTTTTCATTGGACATCAAGAAAGTGGCTCTGGCCAGCCTGAGTGAGTTAGTGACACAGAGAGGCTGGGATTAATGGTCTCTCAGTTCCGCATTATTTCCAGGGCTCTGTGACACCATGACTGCCCTTTCTATTTGGACAGTAGGTTGACATTCCTTGTCAGCCATAGCAGAACTATCAGATTAAATAGACTGACATAACCTACCCCCCTCCCTATTCCCTCCCACTAACCTAATTCTTGAAGGTTATTCTCTGGGTCAGGTTCTTCAATTGTTTGGTCTCAGGATCCCTTTATACTCTTTTTTTTTTTAAAAAAAGTATTTTATTTGTATGCTGCTGCCAGTGTATATAAAATAATCATTCTTGTGAAATATTAATTCATGAAAATTCAGAGAGGTAGGTGTTAAGGACTGACAGAAGCAGAAGTTTGTAGAGTGTGGCATGTTATAGGGTAAGCTTTTTGTACAGACTTCAGATTTAGCTCTCTTTGAATATTCGCCAGTTCAAGAAAAGTGGTTTAGAACACCTTCAAAGTTCATTTTACTACAAAAGGAACAAACTTTCTGGGATCTGAAGGGATTGGTACTTGAAGATACTCCAGTCAGCAGGAGGTCATGTTGAGCATTCTGCAGACAGAATTGTTTCAAATCTGCAGCTGCCTGGGAAACCTTCATGCGGCTGAGCCCGGCCTCCAGCCGGAGCTGTTGAACCACTTTCTCCATAGCCGAGACGCTGGAGGAACCAGACATGGAGCAGGTAAGTGCTGGGCAGATTGGTCCACCGGGGCCTGATGGTGGGGCAGCGACGCGAGGGGAGAAGCTCGGAACTTTCCCCTTTATACTCTTTTTGAGAAAAGATTTTATTATGCTAAGAACATATAACATAAAGTTTAAAGTCTTAACAGATTTTTAAGTATACAAATAATGTTGCTAACTACAGGCATTATGTTATACAGCAAGCATATCTCTAGAACCTATTTATCTAATAGAACTGAAACTCTACACCCAATGAGACACAACTCCCCACATCTCCCCTGCCCAGCCCCTGGCAGCCACCATTCTATTCTCCACATCTATGAGTCTGACTATTTGAGATTCCTTACAGAAGAGGAATCATGCAGCATTCTCCATTGTGCATTCTTGTCACTCTTGTTAAAAACCAACTGACCATATACATGGGATTTATTTCTGTGTCTGATTTATTTCATTTGGCATACTGTCTTCCAGGTTTATCTGCATTGTCTCATAATGCAGGATTTCCTTCTTTTTAAAGGCTGAATAACATCCCTTTGTAATATATACCACACTTTAAAAATCTACTTATCCATCAATGGACATGTTTTCATTTGTGAATAGTGCTACAATAGAGGCTGTACCATTTTACATTTCTACCTGGAAAAGGGTTCCAATTTCTTCATATCCTCGCCAAACATTGTCTTCCTCTTTTTCTTTTATTTTGTAATAGTCATCCTAACAGATCTGAGGTGACATCTCATTGTGATTTTGATTTGTGTTTCCCTAATGATTAGTGGCATTGAATGTCTTTTCATAAATCAGCCATTTGTACATTTTCTTTAGAGAAATGTCTATTCAAGTCTTTACCCCATTTTTCAAATTAAATAAATAGTTATTGGGTTTTTTATTTTGATTTTGCTATTGAGTTGTAGGAATGCCTTACATATTTTGGAAATTAATCCTTCCAGGTATATGGTTTCCAAATGTTTTCTCCCATTGTGTAGGCTGCCTTTTCACTATGTTCACTGTTTCCTTTGCTGTGAAGAAATACTTTAGTTTGATGTAGTCTTACTTGTCTATTTTTCCTTTTCTTGCCTATGCTTTTGGTGTCATATTCAAGAATCATTGCCAAGGTCAATGTCATGAAACTTTCTCCTATGTTTTCTTCTGGGAGTGTTAAACAGTTTCAGAACTTACATTTAAGTCTTTATCCATTTTGAGTAGGTTTTTGTGCATGGTATAAGAAAAAGGTCCAATTTTATCCTTTTATAATGTGTATGCCTGTTTTTCCAAGAACGTGTGTTGAAGAGACTATCCTTTCTCCATTGTGCATTCTTGGCACTCTGGTTGAATATCCGCTGACCATGTATATATGGATTTATTTCTGGGCTTTCCATTCTCTTCTATATTTTTATCTTTTTGCCAGTACCACGTTGTTTTAATTATTGTGGTTTTGTAGTTTAGTTTGAAATCAGGAAGTGTGACACCTCCAGCTTTGTTCTTTTTCAAGCTTGTTTTGTCTATTGTGGCCTTTTGTGGTTCCATATCGATTTTAGAATTGTTTTTCCCCATTTATTCTTTTAAAAATTATTGAAGACCCCAAAGAGTTTTGTTCTATAAATATTTATTGTAATAGAAACGAATTTAAAAGACCAGAATTTATTAAGCATATAAGCACATATCCCAGTGGTCACCAGAGACTCTGAAAATCTCTACTATATATTCTTACAGGATAAGAGTGAATTTATAATATACATATTCTTATAGAATAAGAGTTAAAAAAACAAATTACATTTTAATATGACTATTAAAATCGGCGTGATCTTTCAGTTCAGAGAGGGATACAGGAACCCTTTGGGATATCAAGCCACACTATAAAAACTGCTGATTGAGGTATCTAGTGATTATGTACTAAGTGCTGTGTGCTGGGTATTCCAGCTACGGTGGTAGGAAGGTGAGAAAACATTGGAGGACTCTGTAGTTACCCAGGAAGTCACAAAGCACAGGGTTCTTACTTTATGCATAAGACAACCCATATGTCTGAAAAATAAATTTATGTATATATTCAATGAAGATGATTTGGTATCTCTTTTATGAATAATAAAATCTTAGTTGGCATTATTATAATCTAGACTAGAGGCCCGGTGCACAAAATTTGTGCACTGGAGGGGGGTGGGGGGGTCCTTCAGCCCAGCCTGTGCCCTCTCGTAGCCTGGCTTCTGGCTGAGTGGCACTCCCACTAGGAGCGCACTGACCACGAGGGGACAGCTCCTGCTTTGAGCATCTTCCCCCTGGTGGTCAGTGTATGTCATAGCGAATGATCGTTCTGCCGTTTGATTGATTAGTGTATTAGCCCTTTCTTATATAGGATATTTGATACTCAGAGTCAGTGTGTGAATCAGCAACCCATTCAACCACTTGATATGATCACTTGTGACATTCATCCTCTTGAAACGATCACTACCAAGAAAAGCACCAGAGGTTTTGATGATGTTTTTTGTTATATGGTTAACCAAGTAAAAGTTAAGAGAATATGTGTGAGCACATTCTTTCAAAAGCCTTCTTCTTACAAAAATTTGGTATAAAGCTGTCTGCAGTCCCTGAAACTATGTTACATGACATCACTAATCTTTTTGATGGAGTTTTCTGAGTAGCTTCTACCTTCCTATTTAAAAGTTTGAGGACCTAAGTATAATCAATGTCTTCTTCTTTTCAGATAGCTTTGAGATAGCTGTGCCATTGAATAGCCATGTGGTCTCAGAGCCTGGAGAAAACATCACATTCATGTACGAACTTCAAATGAAGGGTCCCATGCAACAAGTCACATGGGAAAAGGTCCAGTCCCATCAGATCGACCTCCTAATCAGCTGCAACTTATCCCAAGGGAAAAGCTTCCCCTCAAGGTTTAGGAGGCAAATCCTGAGCAACTGTAGCCAGGGGATGAGAAGGAGCTTTATCCTCATGCCCCACGTCGTGGCCTCTGACTCCGGACTTTACCGTTGTTGCTTCAAGGCCAGCACAGGAGAAAATGAAACCTTTGTAGTAAGGTTGACCGTAACTGATGGTGAGTACATGACAGAAGCCTTCTCGTGTCAAAAATGGAAAAAGCCAACCACGGTGGGTTGGTTTCTGTTGTCTTTTCTATAACTCTATTGTTCAAAATATTTTTTTTAAATTTATTGATTTGAGAGAGAGGGACATCGATTTGTTGTTCCCTTTATTTATGCATTCTCTGGTTGATTCTTTTATGTGCTCTGTGATTCTTGTATGTGCCCTGACCGTGGATTGAATCCACAACTAGGATGATGCTCTAACCAACTGAGCTACCCGGCCAGGGTCAAAATATTTTTTAATGATTGGATTTAGGTAAGTTGTCAGTTATTGAATGGCAGTCTTTAGTATGTCTTTACCTTGCTAATCCTTCAATCACAGATTTAATAATAATAAATCTTTCCCGTTTTCTTGATCTGTCCCAATTTCCTGACATTCAACAAAAAATTCAGGGAGTCTGAAAATATACATGGTCTCACCAGCCTGTAAGTTCCAGCCGCATAACCTCCTATTTTTCAGTTACATTAAAACTTTTGAGGGTGGTGACTAGGTTTCATAATCCTCATATAACCTCAGCAATAACAAGAAGCTGCTGGATTAGTGTTTGCTGAGTCAGTGTTGTGTTGAGTGCAAATTTAATAAATGTTTGATAATTGAGTTGCTTCTTTGACACATTGGAGCTTTGAATCCCTCAGCTCTTTCAGATCTGGGAGCAGAAGCAGACTGGCCTTGACAAGCTTGAAGCTGAACTCCAGGGCCTCTTAGCTGAGCAGGTTCCTTCCCAGGCCGGGTACTCACATTGTATTAGCAATTTGTCTCCTGGGTCATAACGATGCCCTTACCTGTGTGAGCTTTAGGCCTCACAAAAGCCATGGAACAGTAAGAAAAAATGATTTTTTGCTTGCTGAAGTGCAAACACAGAGAGACTGGCCTCTCTAGAGGTCTGTGTAGAGGCCTGGGTTACAACGGAGTGTGAGAAAGGCCATCCCAGGCTTTCCTGATTCATCCTCTGGGCACATTTTCTCACTGCAGAGGGACATGTTAGAGAAAGTAATTTATTTTTATTGGTGACAGAAATTCTACTTTAATTCCCCCTCCTTCCTTCCCTCCCTCCCTCCCTCCTTTCCTTTCCCTCCCTCCCTCCTTCTCTCCCTTCCTCCTTCTCTCCCTCCCTTCCTTCCTCTTTCCTTTCTTCCTTCCAGCCAGCCATCTTTCTCTCTTCTTTGCTGTCATCTGCTTCCAGGAAGCCCATGTGCCTTGCTTGTGTGTAGATTTTTAAAGCCATGGCTTCTTAGGATTTGGCCGTCCCTTTATGGACAGTTTATGCTGCAACCCGCTGTTTCTTCCTGCCCTGGGAAGGAAGATGAAAGGCTTTGTGTACACAATGGCCTGTGTGTGCCAAGCAGGACACTTCTCAGAGGACAGCCCTCTGTCTACAGCAGGGGTGGGGAACGTCTGGCCTGTGGGCTGTGTATAAGGCTCGCGAAATCATTTGGTCTGGCCCTGCCAAGGCATTAGGGGCGAGTTAATTAAATGTTTGACCAAATATAGCAGGCTAATTTTTGAGTTGATGATTTTGTATGGTCTGTGAGCGATGTTATAAATATTCAAATGGCCCTTGGCAGAAAAAAGGTTCCCCACACCTGGTCTACAGAGTCACCTTGGATCACATCAAGCTGCCTTTGCTCCTCTTAATGACAGGGGTGGGGGTAGGGTGGGGAGTTGTGGGATGCACATTCTTTTCAGAACTTGATGCAAAACAAGGTTGATGAACCAATTTGGAAGAGATAATTAACTGAGATTCTTCACTTTAAATGTTGACTCCATTCCTTTAGACACATATAGACACTATTTCTTACCTAAAAATAACCTTGCATTACAGAATTGTTTTTTAAACCTGGCCACATAGAAGAAAGACTAAGCATAGTCACTAATCTTCTTTCAGGAACAAGGCAAGAAAATGGTCTATTCAGAAAAATGTCATAAAGAACCATTTTCAAACACCTATGAAATAAGATCTTGTCCATTAAATGTGAAAAAGTGATTTTAAACATCTTAAATCATAGAGAAAATGGAGGTAATAGATTTTTAGGAGGTATAGTTATTTAACGCTTACTAATTTTAAAAAACATCTTTCTCTTGTCAAAACATGACTAAGTTTCTTGCACAAAATGATTTATTTTCTTTGTACAGAAGCTGTAAGCACTGTTGAATATGAAAACAACTGAATGTAATGGGCAGCATTGTTAGTGTCCATTTGTTTTGAAAACCCACAGAATGGCTTTCTGAGATTCAAGGGCAGGTTGAAAGAATGTCAATGGGACCCATTAGTCAACAGTTATCATTGACAGAAGATGACAGCTGTTGACTGTATGCTTTGGTCTAATTCTCTTTTAAAATGATCATAAGTATGTATTGAATATTAAAAATCAGATGGAAAGCAAAACTAGAGCGCATGTATTTTCTCTGGTGCAATTTGATTATTTCAAAGCTTGAGGCTATTTAGTCAAAAATCAATGTAGAGCTAAAAGCAGAGAGACAGGTGTAAGATGTAGAGCAGATTTAATTTATCTCAACTGTCAAGGGAAAGGTGATTGTGACACAATTTTTAATAAACTGCTCTGCATCCTTTGTTACGTCCATCCACTTCTTTATAGCAGGACTCATATTCCACACACACACGAGGCTCTTCCTTGACATCTGTCTGCCTGTGTTCATATTCTGACAAGTACCGGGTACTCATAGGTCACCCAAAAGATGATGCAATGTCAACCTATATGTTATATAGCCAGGCCTTGATTTGTTTTGAAGAAAGAGTAAGTGGCAGAAGCATGAGTTATACCAGAATTTACTCTGGAGTTTCTTTTTTTTTTAAATTTATTATTATTATTTTTATTACAAAGGGTATTACATATGTGTCCATTTTTTCCCCCCGCCCTAGACAGTCCCCTAGCCTCCCCTATCCCCCAGTGTCTTATGTCCATTGGTTATGCTTATATGCATGCATACAAGTCCTTTGGTTGATCTCTTACCCCCCTACCTCCCGCCCCCCAACCCTCCCCGGCCTTCCCGCTGCAGTTTGACAATCTGTTTGAGGCAGCTCTGCCTCTGTATCTATTATTGTTCAAAAGTTTATAATGGTCTCAATTATCCATGAATGAGTGAGATCATGTGGTATTTTTCCTTCATTGACTGGCTTATTCCACTTAGCATAATGCTCTCCAGTTCCATCCATGCTGTTGCAAATGGTAAGAGCTCCTTCCTTTTTAGAGCAGCATAATATTCCATCGTGTAGATGTACCACAGTTTTCTAATCCATTCATCTACTGATGGGCACTTAGGCTGTTTCCAGATCTTAGCTATGGTGAATTGTGCTCCTATGAACATAGGGGTGCATATATCCTTTCTGATTGGTGTTTCTGGTTTCTTGGGATATATTCCTAGAAGTGGGATCACAGGGTCAAATGGGAGTTCCATTTGTAGTTTTTTGAGGAAACTATGGAGTTTCTTTGTTAAATTAAAAGAAATACTTGTCTCCTATTCTTGGCTCTTAGGACCTGAGAAGTAGGAAATAGTTTTAGACTGACTATCCTGCATTTGAAATTTGTCTAGACCACAGGGTCAAGGATCAGGGGGAAAATGTGTGCACACAACAGTGACCAAAATTATTCTCGGTCCTTAATATTCGTTGGAATTTCATTAGTTATGAGAAAAGTATTTTAGTTTCCACCAAAAGAAATTTTGAAGTCTTTTAATATTAGCTACATGACGTTCAAACTACTATTGTTTTAACTGCACTTATTGATTGTGAAAAGGAGGAGGATCAAAGAAATGAAATCAGCTCTCTCAGGAAGTTTCTGGAGGAGATTAGTTTGAATAAACTTCCATTGGCCACTGCTGAGTAGTATAGTTTCTCAGGCCCTACTCCAATATTCCACCAACGAGGCCACTCAGCTGAACCATCGGGTTTCAAGTGAGGCATTGATGATCAGAGCAAAGAAAAGAGACAAAACAGGGGACAGGGAGTAACAGGAAGTAAGCATGAGAGGATGAGGAAGTTGTGAGTGTGTGACTGGCTAGGTGGGTACAGAGATTCTGAGTTATGGGTTAACATAGAAGGTGGTAGGCACAATTAAGTGATAACTTGTTGAAATTCTGGATCTCATTACGATCAACGAAAGCCACTATCAATTCTTTTTTGTTTGTTTTTTGCCACTATCAATTCTTGACCAAAGATGGCAAAATAATATTCAAGGAAGTGTAAGTCAAATAGTTACTGTGTATAGAATTAAAAAAGTGAAATTCAAGGCAGAGGAAATGAGCTAAGAGTTCAATAGTACATGAATGATTGTGCTCTCAAACTAGGCTACAAAGGAGCCCACTCAGGTAGACAAATTTCCAATGACACCTCCTCCAGGCAGACAAGTTAAGAAAAGGTGCCCCTTTCTGGGCTGATGCAGACTCAAGCTTTGACCAGGTTTCCTGGTGGGCCACGGGCATCCTACCCACCTTGGGTGGGCACAGAGGGGAGAGAGAAGTTGGTCTGATAGAAATGTCAGCTGTGCTTGCCACCACCTGGACAGTCACTCACACTCTTCTATTTTTTCCTTTTCTTCACCAACCTATGAACTTTTGCCATATTTATCTTCTTTCCTTTAGTGTTTCCATCAGATCTCACCACCTTCAAGATTTCCACACTGGCCCACATTGCTCCCCAGTCATTGCACCATTACACATCTTGAATATCTCAAACACTTATAACTTGGAAATGTATATGCTTGAGTCACTGCATCTATTTGCCGCAGTCCATATTCTTATACTAGAAATTATTTGAGATATCAGATTTTGGCATCTCTGCTTAAAGCTGTCAGATCTTTCCAGAATTTGTGTTAAAGCATGTTCTTGGCTGATTCCGTCTATGTTAATATTTGTATGTATTCTAGTAGGGACTGTGTCCATTTTGTGTTCAAGTTTTCTAGCTAGATTATATCTAGATTTTCTTCATCAATATTG